GCATATGCGCATAGGCAGAAACAAAAATATGCATCGATATTGGTGGATGTAATGCAAATAAGTTTAATAAATGCGTATTTTCTGGGATTGTTGATGCGCATTTTATGCTCATTTCAATGTGACATGCAAACCGGCAAGTCGACTTTTGCCGATCGCCTTTGGGTTCGAGAGTAAGGAAGTCTTGCTTTTCGCCCAGCTTTCGTGTCTCTGTGCTTTTTAATATCTGATTTTTAATATCAATTGTTTCAAATTAAAAGTTAGGATATTCTGGCTATTCATAACCACCTATGCCCGATTTCCTTGGAAAACCTAAAATAAAAACACAAATTCAATTCGAACTCGGCCTCTAGCCTCACCCCCTCCCCTCCTTTCATCAGAGCTATGATTGGTTGCTTCTTCTTGGCGCGAACGTGTGTCTTCTCCGTGCCCGCTGTATTCGAAAGAACGACAGTTCGTCAGTCGACACCGTTGTAGGTTGCTACGTATTTGCCCTCTAACCGCCGCGTGATTAAATTGTGTCAAAATGTTTGTCTTGGTTTTAAACCAAGAGACGGAAGAGCTGTCCATAAAGCAATCGGAAGAGATCTACGTCCTCATAGTGAGGTCAATGAATATCGTCCAATTTAAGCCCTCCTCACCAAGCGATTATGTGAAGAGGAAAGAGTACGGAGTCAAAGTTGGGGATCAAATGGTCCGCCATATCATAGTGGCTATGTCTGGTAAGAATGGTTGCTTTGTTGGAAAGTGTTATTTGAACACTATCGTGCCACTATCGTGTACCATTATTATCACTACTATCGTAAAACGTAAAACTTATTGTAGAGGCCACTTCTACTAGATCAAAGTGCCAAAAAACATGAAAAACTCACTTGGGACTCATCTTCAAGGCCCATTTACGATCTTGGATAATGTAAATTTTATTTTATTGAAGCGGAGGCGGTTTTTACATTATTTTATGGAACTTTCGCGGAGGGGCATTTTCAATCTCGTCTCCACAATGTTTCCGAGATTGAATTAAAGTGGTCACGCTCTCACGTTAAATCATAGGAACCAAAAATGAGCCGCAATAAGGAATTTTCCATCCAATGAAAACAATCCCACTGACATCACTTGATGTCATTTTGACGAAACTGTGTTCTCTGGGATGGATAATTAATTAATTTCTTAATTTATAACAGATGATCAAGAAGAGATTATCAAAGAAAAAGCAGAATTGGAGAAGAAGAAAAAACCACGCAAAGCTGTGAAATCAGCATATCCGAGTTCACAGCCATTTTCAGATTGGCAAGTAAACAAACAAGTAAGTAATCTACGACCCAAATAAACCAGCCAAATCTCTATATGGAGTCATTTTTCAGTCACTGCAGTTTTTGACACATTGTACAGTGAGAGACTTATTTGTGCTTGAATTTTGACTGCTTGGTCTAATTTAGGTAGAGTCAGTAACTGTGACCCTCATACAGTCAAAACTAACAAATATCTTCATAGTGATGTTTTATTTTGTGTTGTTGTGTTGTGGGTTCTTAGGAGCTTTCTCAAACATTTGTTTCATGTTTCAGAAAGAAAAACAAGTTAGGGCCAACGATGCCAGAGAGGCGACTGATAAGATCATTCAAAACAAGCTAGAAAATAAAAGGAAGAAGCAGGCAGTTCCTAGCTTAGAGACATCTGTGCAGAAGGACTTGGCGCCAAGAGAAACCGTTGGTGATGACTCGGTAAGGACGATTTACTCTTTATTTGTCCAATTAAAGTACTCGTGCTAATTAATTACTGGCTAATCTTCTGCTCCTTCTTTTCAGGCTAATCTAGGTGATAATGTTGCAATACAGTCATCTCTACTTAATTCGGTTATCTCGGAAGAAGACCCTTCTTCTCCTACTGCTAAGGAACGGCAAGCCAGTTTCTCAAGTGTCCATGATGTCCATGATGATGACACACCTTCAAAAGATGACGATGACACACTTTCAAAAGATTTACTATCCAGCTCAGTAGTGAGAACTGTAAGAGCATAATGACTTTTTCCTCAATTAAAGTTAGAGGGTTGTTTGTTTTCTTTACATCTAATTTCTTTTTTTTACAGGAAAATTCGGATGTGTTAACTGCAACAGCAGATGGCCATTCAAAACAGGAAACAAGGACACTTTTAAAAAAAAAACACTTGCAGAGTGTAAATCAGAATCATTCTCTTCCAGGGAAAAATTCTGATGGAGCTGGCTTACCCTCCAGATTGGAAAACAGAAACTCCCCAGCACGCAACAGCTCTGATGTCAGTTATTAAAGTGTACTCATTCATGAATTTATTTGCTATACATAGTAATTTCTTTACATCTGATTTTTTTTGTTCAGGAAATTTTTAATTTGCCAGTAACTGTAATGGCACATGTCCATTCACACAAGGTAAGCTACTTTAAAACTGTAGCTAGTTGTTTTTCACTGTCAATTTTTCTTCATTTTGCTTTTCTTTTCAGAGTCCAGGGAAAAATTCTGATGGAGCTAGCTGCTCACCCTCTAGAAAGGAAAACAGAAAGCGCACAGCATCCGAAAGCATTGATGTCAGTTACCTATTAAAGTGTACTCTTTCCTGAATTTATTGGCCCTACGTATAGTAAAAATTAGTAAGTTTATTCCTTCAATTTCAGTCTCTAGGCAATATCTGTCTTGGCAGTGATAGTGCATCCAAGAAAATTATTAGGAGTGATCGGGATTTGGAGTCAACGACCAAGCCTTTTAATACAAGGGTATGTTAATCAAATTAAATTCATGATTCAATTTTATTTCCCACAGATAACAGTATAGATTACATTTTAGTAAATCTAATCCTTATCCTGGCTCTTTTCATTATTCTAGAATTGGGATGAAATTGTTCCTGATCCAAACCAATCGGACACTGGAGAGAACTCACAGGCTAATGGTCCTTCTTTAGATGAAAGTGCTACAGGCAATAAAGCAACAGTAAGTTAAATTAGATGAATTTGTTGGAAAATCTTATCTTTCTCCTCTCTATTTTTTGAATGTTTAGAGATTTAAATTTTGACCATAATGCAGGAATAATATAAGGCGGTTTTTGTGTTGTTGCTTTTTTAGGAAGACCGCAATGAGGAGGAGGAGTCTGAGAATGATGTCAACTTGTATGAATATCTTGAAAGAAATTTTAAGAAAGTATTTAAAAAATTAGATAAATTGGGAAACAAAATTGAAGGTATTTTCTTCAGTCAAAGGAAAACTTTTTTAACTAGACCAAAATTGTCACTATATTTTCTATTTTCTTTTATTTAGCTTTGGAGAAAGGACAGGGTGTCAGACGCACTGCAGCTTCCTCTCAATTGGAAGAGGAAGTAGAAGGAGGTGTTATGCCAAACCATGTAATGAAATTGTTGTTTCTGACACCATATTTTTCTCATACACTTGCATTCTCAATTTTTACCAATCAATTTTACTGCTTCCAGGTTTCATTTGGGAGAGGAATTTACATTCCGATTAAAGATGTGAAAAAAATTACTGAGGCAGGGGATAAGTCCACCATCCTCCAGAGGAAAGTAGGTGAATTGGCTCTAGCTTGCTTTGGCGACAAATTGTCAACTTATTGTCTTTCCCAAGTGCAAGACAACAAGAACAAAGAGATTATGCCTGAAATTGTTATTGATAGAATAACAGGTAAGTAACTATGGAACAGCTGTTATAGGTTAAAGCTCCCGTTTCTTTACATTCGCATGTTGAGAAGTACTAATGCCTTTATGCCTTTGATACAGATGTAATAAATGAAGGGAATATTGAGGCAAATTATAGGAAGTTGCTAAGAAAGGCTGAAATAACCAAGCTCAACAGCCAAGAACTGACTGAAAAGATAGCTGAACTCAAGAACCTGGCAGCATCTCAAACTATAGAGTTAACGACAGCAGATATTAGAAAGAAAATGTCAAAAGTCATCTTCCTTTACAAGAATCCCTCAACCTCGACAAAGTAAAATAGATGTATCTTTCAACAATACCAAGTATTGTTAATTGCTGAGTAATCATTCAAATAATCTTGGTACTGTGCATCATCACCAAACTAGTGTGATAAAAAATGAATTTTTTTTTTGTGAAATCGTAATTTTTTCTTGTTACTTTATTGTTTTATTTGACCATGCTTCCAAAGCTACCCTGCAAAGCTGAAAATATAGCTTTTTTCTTAAAGAATCTTTCTTTTATTTCTTTCCATAGCCATGTCTTTCACAGATAGACCTCTGCTTTGTGTGACTGGCCTCGCTCAATTGATATGCTGTCTAAAAACATTGCTTCTCTCAACAACATACTTCTAAAAGTAGCTATCTTTGGTTCTCCAGAATAATTGGATACTTAAATTCACTCTCAGGAGGATTTCAGCCAGGATTCTCCTCTCTTAAGAAATATCAAGCAGGCTAATCATATAGTCAATATGGAGTTACCAGCAATAATGGGGATCCATAGTGCATTGAAATAAATACAGATCTTTCTGAACAGTTCTCACTGGGTGTAAGATGAAAATTTATTAGCCCAAATATTTAAACAAAAAGAAGGTGCAACAAAGACTCTTTACATACAGGAGCCTCTATGAACATTTTGGGGCTAGACTAAAGAGCAATAAAAGAAACACTTCTGTTTTTCCACTTCAAAATAGCCTAGACCCTCAACATAAGTAACTACTTATTTTGTAATATTCAAGGGGAAACTACAGTGAAAAGTTGGCCATTTTGGATAATAATGACCCTTAATGGCAGTTAATACAGTAACTGACACATACTTGCAAACATTCAGAATTTTGAATGCCCCTTACATTTCTTGGTGAAAGAAACTTTTCATATACGCTCTAAAATTTTCCTGGGTGATGGGTTTAGAGTTACATGTTAGACAAAATAATAGGAAAACAGCAACAATGTCCTTCCCCCTAAAGTATCTAAAAAAAATAATAAGAAGAACTAAATGTGGACCATTTTTAAATCATCAAAAAACTAAAATGAAACACAAATTTAAAACTGTGCTTTGTCAGAACTATAGCTCATTCCTTTCTGAATACAAGAATGTTTTCACACCCAACTTTGTTAAAACAAAACTGTTATGCAGTGAACATTTTTGGTTTTAA